GTCTCACAGCAGTTACAGCAACATATTAAGCCAGACTGATAAAATATTAAGTTTCCATCTCCCTTAAAGATACTTTTGTTGTAAAAATAAAAACATTATTTTATAAAATATATAATAAATTATATATATGTAAGACAATTGTTGGTTGTAGCACTTTTTACTTTATTGTTACCTCAAAGTTTGCAAAAATTATATTATATTAATTTGGTCTAAAAATAAGTCCTCACAAGCACTCAATTCATAAAAACATTTATAGCAACAAACATTAAACTGTTTATAGTATTTTGGCGATGACAGGTTTGTCTGGGAGTCTTGCTTTTATGCAACCAAAAAAATATGGAAAAAAAAAATTAATCATAATCAAAAAGTATCTGAATAAAACATACATGACCGGTGCTTTTATACTTACTTATTTGTAAATATTATGGGATACCTCACATGAAATTAGATTTGCCTCTGAATGCTCCAATACATTGCTATTACAGATGACATTCATTTATTTCTATCTTGTCGCCAATCTCTATTGTGCATATCTAATGAGAAATGGAGAAGATTGTCATGCAATGAATAAAACATCCTTTTTTTGAAGTGCAAATGAGAATTGCAGACACATAATGTCTTCTTATATCCTCAGAAGTTAGACATCTTTTCTCAGTTTTTTTTTCATTTTCTCACTGCTCAGATATTCTTCAATTCTCATTCTTCAATTTTCTAATTTTGATGAATATTTTTGTTGTTTTTACTCACTGACATTTTTACACTTAAAATTTTCTCGCCTAATTTTAGTCCCAAAAAAATTTAACAGTCTCTTTCTGAAGTGTTTAAAATTTACGTGGGACAACAAACTAGTGAAAAAATGAGAATATTTTATAAGCACTACAAATTATTCACATTTTAATGAGTGATATGGTCCATCAAATAGCAAAGTGTTGCCATGGAAATAATTTGTGAATTTCCTATTGCATTAGACACTAATTCGGTAATTGATCATTTTGGATGAATGCAATTAAGGTTGAAAATTTCCAAACCAGTTCCAGTATCCTCACAATAATTTAGTATAGGTTCAGGAAATCCTTGTTCTGTGTGTTAGAAAGTGACCATTCTAATCTTTAACTCTTTGACCTTTAAACTGCCAATTTTTGTGGTGTTTCACAAAATAAAAGTCGCATGTTTTTTTTTTTTGCAAAATGAGAGATTGATCTGTTGCCAATAAGAAATTATGCCTACTGTAAAAACTTTATTTTTGCTTGGAATTAATTTTTTTCGCTGAAGGAATGATCCAGTGAAAATAAAATCAAGCTAATATTCTTTTTTTTCTTTCTATATTTTACATTTAACTTGTCAAAAATCAGTGAAAATAAAATACATACAAATCACCCAAAAAGTCTTTTCAGCAAAAATTAATTCCAACTAAAATAAAGTATTTCACAGTATTTGGTGTTAAAATTATTAACCACTACATTACCAGTGACTTGGTTATTTATTTGTTAATTGTAGCTAAGGGGATATGAAAATTACACTCTCTGAGATGACAAACAAACCAAGGTGCAGGCTTGTTGAATAGTCAGGGAGGCATTTATATCTACGTATTCCCTGCCAGAGTAAATTAACAATTGTTTCAACATCTCAAAGGACCTTGTCATGTTTGGGTTGATAAATTTGTCTCGTCAGTCAACAACTTGTTGCTTCTTGACTTCCAGGGAGAATTTATGGTGATGTAGTTTTAAAATTATTTGACAAATCAACCTCAGAAACAGAAAGCAAACATCTCTGCATTTTACTACGTGACGTGTATGTAAAATTATCACCAACAATGAGTAGGTGTAGGTTCCAAACTCATGCACATGACGACATGAAGCATAATATTTTTGTTTTTTTTGCTCTTTTAAAATATGGCATTTAAAGATCAGAATTTTATTTGAAAAAAGCCCTTCAATAGTTTTCTGGTACATTTAACTTTCTGACAAACCTCTTAGGACATTTACCGATATGTATAAATGGACATCACAATCAAGGCTGTTTACAGCTATTTTGAGTTTCAGAATAACTGCTATTAACCATCAAGTTGTATTTAGAACTGATGCCAAGTGAATTGATAACATACATCTGTCATTAGGTATTGCACAGGGTTTCCACATCCTACCTTATTAGGAAATTCCAAATATGGAATGTAGTATTTTAAAGATGGCGGACATTTAAAAAAAAATGTTTATATATTTTTAATGAAAGGCTCGAAATAAATGATTTGACTTTAAACTTAATATATTTCTTTATCAAAAAAATTATTTTTCAGAGGATAATATGATGTAGATATATCCTTGTTTCATTATTAAACATGTATAGCACATTATTCAGCATGTAAAAATACTTTTTAGTTTGTTGAATTTCACATGATGTTTCAACAAAAAAAAACAGTGGTATGACCTTTGTTTGTACTGTTTTTATATTTGACTTGATACATACTGCAGGATCTTGTAATGAACAGAAAAACAATTTTATTTTCACCATCTGGCTCAGTTCTGCACTTGTATACATGAGTGGTTGAAGATGTATACAGTAATAACATTATTACAAGCATACCCAGACAGTATGTGATAGCAGCAGCTTTCACTATATGCTGGCTGATATTTTGGGCTGTACTGCTGTTATAATGCATACTTTGTAATATCCCTGTAATACTACTACTTTTAGATGTCTTTTGTTGTTGTTATATTTTTTTATCTTAGTTCATGTAACTTAATTTCTTTTTGTCTATCAAAAGTTGTTTTTTTTTATCCATAAGTCTTTGAGTGAAATGTATTTTTTATTTGGTGCAGCTCCTAGTTTACATAGTGAGCCCCTGTTACAAAAGGGAAGCAATAAATAATAAATAAAAAATACCCTTATACCGGTAATAGCATAATAACCTAGTCTGTCTGATATCACTGTACAAATACATACTGCTTATCTATAACATGTTGCATCATCATAACATTAAATCACACTGTGCTTTGCTGGCTCAATTAGATACTCATCAATTAAGCGGTCATGGTAAATTTATGGTCCCGCCCACATTCATGTTTTGTATGCTGATCTTTACTACCAATAGGTTTACGCTTTAACCCTTTGCATAATTTTTCAGACTTTTTTTTTAAAATCAGATTATTTTATAGTTTTGAGTATAATCAACATTGTGTTCTTTTAATCTGCAGCATCTCCCACACTCTGTATCATCTGTTGTCATGGCAACAGTCATGCTATATGATCATATTATTAATTGGCTCATACTACTCACTATTAGATCTCAATGAAAAGGGCTTGTGATTTCAAAGTTTTAATTGTGTTAAGTGTTAAAAAATATACCAAATTCAAGTTCAGGACTAGCGATTCTTATCAATTTCATGATCAAAACCAAAGATTTAAAGTTTATTTATTCCCCTGCCCAATTTAGGACAGACAAATGAATGTTTTGGCTTGGCCAGAAATTAATTCTGAATAAAAATGTTGTGAACTTTTACAAGCATTATGATTGCAAACAATTTTGGTGCACTAAATGATTCAGTGTTGTGTCTAATATTGAAGGTAAAAACATGACAAAGAAATCAAAGTGTCTTAGTGACATCAAAACATCAACATGGCTTCAACAAACACAAAAGTACTTTTGAATCATAAACTTTATTTATCAAGGGTAACATAGTAAGTTTTCACTTATCTTTCCTATGAAAAGAATACATACACAACTAGACAAAATAAAGAATACATACACAACTAGACAAAATAAAGAATACATACACAACTAGACAAAATAGTTATTGGATATTTCTATGCTGTACACAATTAGGTGATGGTTATTTTTGTAGATATATAAATATATATGTGCTATATTTCTCTCTGAAAAATAGAAATTTTAACATTGAACTATAATCATTAGATTTTTTGCAGCAGACGTTCAAGCAACGCCTTTTACACATTACGTGAGAACTCCCAGTGAGCGGAAAATCACTTATTTGTCTTCATTTTTTGGAAACTTTCATCTCTGATGATGATAGTGTTTACTGTTTGATTTTTAAAACAAGACAAACCACAGTTTTTTTTATTTGTGTCTGTCTAATTGTAGTGCGATACCTACAATTTGTGTTAACTGTTAGTTAATATGACACATGTCAGCCTAATAACAGTGTTAATCTGACATATGTCAGCCTAATAACAGTGTTAATCTGACACATGTCAGCCTAATAACAGTGTTAATATGACATATGTCAGTCTAATAACAGTGTTAATATGACATATGTCAGTCTAATAACAGTGTTAATATGACATATGTCAGCCTAATAACAGTGTTAATCTGACACATGTCAGCCTAATAACAGTGTTAATCTGACACATGTCAGCCTAATAACAGTGTTAATCTGACACATGTCAGCCTAATAACAGTGTTAATCTGACACATGTCAGCCTAATAACAGTGTTAATATGACATATGTCAGCCTAATAACAGTGTTAATATGACATATGTCAGCCTAATAACAGTGTTAATATGACATATGTCAGCCTAATAACAGTGTTAATCTGACATATGTCAGCCTAATAACAGTGTTAATCTGACACATGTCAGCCTAATAACAGTGTTAATCTGACACATGTCAGCCTAATAACAGTGTTAATCTGACACATGTCAGCCTAATAACAGTGTTAATCTGACATATGTCAGCCTAATAACAGTGTTAATCTGACATATGTCAGCCTAATAACAGTGTTAATCTGACATGTCAGCCTAATAACAGTGTTAATCTGACATATGTCAGCCTAATAACAGTGTTAATCTGACATATGTCAGCCTAATAACAGTGTCAATCTGACACATGTCAGCCTAATAACAGTGTCAATCTGACACATGTCAGCCTAATAACAGTGTTAATCTGACACATGTCAGCCTAATAACAGTGTTAATCTGACACATGTCAGCCTAATAACAGTGTTAATATGACATTAATATTTGTCAATTTTTCTATTTTTGACAGGTACTTGGGTGACCTTTGGTGGCCAGATTACAGATGAGGTGAGATTGAATGAACCCATTAGATTGTAATAAATTGAAACAAATAATAGTTTTCATTTCACATTCATAAAATCTGTGTAAGGGATCTACTCTAAATTACACAATGTTAATACAATATGTATTCACTAGTTTTTGCATAACAAAATAACAATGTTTAAATGATAACACATGTTTGTGGGGGCAATATCAAGATTTGTTGCTCGCCCAAGGGTTGATGGTCATGACCATAATATTGGACAAAAAATCGAACAGACACGTTCTGGCACATACGCTGTCTATTATGGATGGCTAGACTTCCTTAAAAATCTTGAAAGCACCCCTGAAAGCAACAGCTACCGGGACCAGTGTAGCGAACAACAATTTGTTATGCTCAGTATCGTTGCACGGTACGGTAGTTGCAATGACGTCATCCATGTGATATACCATGTAATTGGCAACAATATAATATGTCATTCATTTTGTATTCAATGTCATGTGACCAAGTCTCAACCAATCATATCATACATAACAGTGACGAAAGGGACTATGTCATCGACAATACATGTAACTTGTTTTTGTAAGGATTTCCATGTATCAATAATTTGTTTTTATTTTTGTTGCAGATGGCAGAAGAATTGGTAACCTTGGCATTTGAAACTGGTATCAATTTATTTGACACAGCAGAAGTCTATGCAGGGGGGAAGTAAGTCTCTATGCACCAATCACAGACCACTTGCCCTTATATGGTGAATAAATATCCTTATATGGGATGTACACATACCTTATATGGAATATAAATCTCCTTATATGGTAAGCATGTGCTACAGTGTTTTCTTTTCATTCATGTTATGATTTAGAGCCGAAATTGTACTTGGAAAAATTTTGAAAAAGAAGAACTGGAGAAGATCAAGTATTGTCGTGACAACCAAAATATACTGGGGAGGAAAGTAAGTAACCATAGCAACCAAATGAACGAGTGAAAAATATACTTCAGATTATCAAAAATGTCAGAATATTGATTTAAGAAGGAAGATGACGTCTTGATTTATTTGACTAACTCTGTATTGGTCAAATCGGTTGTATGCTATATTTGAATTTTGTTACTTTTTACAGAATAAAACAAATTTTTTTTCAGATTTTTTCAAAAATTTGACCAATGGAGAAATTTGTTCCAAAAATTTTAGAAAAATTAATAAAAACATGCAAAATGTTTCCCAAAATATTGACAAAAAAAAAAAAATTATAGCTCAAATGAATTTTGCAAGTTTGAGAAATTGTCACTAGGATAGAGTGAATCAACTTGTGAGAAATTCTTTTGCAAATTCTCTAAGATTACTGGTAATAGTACTTCTATTTTTTGCCGTGCAGAGCTGAAACAGAACGAGGTTTATCTCGAAAACATATCATAGAAGGGTTGATGGCGTCATTACAAAGACTACAGTTGGATTATGTGGATATGGTATTAGCAAATAGACCGGACCCAAACACACCAATGGAAGGTAAAATATTATGATTGTGTGATTGGTTAATATTTGAAATGCTGTATAGAACAGCTTGTAGAACCTGGATTATAAACCAATCACATGTGTGCAGATTAGATTAATGCTATTATCTTGTTAGGGCTTTGATCACATCACTTTTTAGCTCCGCTGTTGGCTTTGTCAAGCAGAGCTTATCATATGAGTGATTGTCCTCTGTCGTCATCCGTCGTCTGTCAGCTGTGTCAGTGTTTTACTTTTTCGACTTCTTCTTGAAAACTACAAGCCTGAATGCTTTGATACTTGGTGTATATGTACCTGGGTAGACCTCGCTCAGATTTGTTCATTTCATGATGATATCTTTAATTCTCTAATTTTGGTGAATATTTTTTTAATTTTTGGTAAAAAGTGATATTTTTGACTTCTTGTTGAAAACCTGATTGCTTTTATATTCCATATATAGGTACTACATGTGGACCTCTTTCATATTTGTTAATTTCGTGGTGATTTCTTCAATTATTTAATTTTGATGTTTATTTTTGGTGAAAAGTGATATTTTGGAATTCTTGTTGAAAACAGCAAGTCCTGTTGCTTTGATACTATGCATATTGTTCATTTTCTAATGATACCTTCTGTTCTTTAATTGAAATGTGCATTGCTAACAGCGGAGCTATCTCAGCCGATAGGCTGCTTGTTTATAATTTATTACAATTTCATATTTTTTTTGTTTTAAAGTTATACATAATTATTGATTTGGATGGAAGTTTTGTTGTTTTTCACTCTGTGAGAAATATATTTTACATCATAAATGAACATTTTGTGGATATTTTCCAGAAAATACATTTATAAATAATATGTACCAATAATATAATAGTTAGTGACAAACATAAGTACCATCATATAACTACATGTGAAATAATCACATGATGTAACTGAATAAAATTTTGGAATATGATAAGAACCAATGGTTATAATCAACATTTTCATGGATGTTTGATCAGTTTTTGCTGGGATACTATGTTTGGTGTGCTATGGTATAATGTGTGTCTGTGTGTTGAATCGTCTGAATAACAGCATAAAATAAATGTGTTGTGAAAATAAAATAATAATAAATTAATCTGCATCTGATTAGTGTGGCAAATCTGTTCTGATAAGATTTACTTCATGACTTGCTTTTCAAAAATATCTAGTGTTTTCCGTTAAATAAGAATGGTTTTCTTTTCAGAAATTGTGCGAGCTTTCACATACTGTATAAACCAAGGTATGGCAATGTATTGGGGAACGTCAAGATGGAGTACGATGGAGATCATGGAAGCTTATTCTGTTGCTAGGCAATTCAACCTCATCCCACCAGTATTAGAACAGTCAGAGTATCATCTGTTCAATCGAGAAAAAGTAGAAACACAGCTACCTGAACTTTTCCATAAAATAGGTAAATAATAATAAGTGATTCAGAAACTGAAAAATGGCTGCCATATCAGTTTCTAAGAAAGCATAAAACTTAATTTTAATGTTTTCATTCAGTTTCCCTGTCTTGTGTTCATAGTTTTAGAAACATGTTTTCTTGCATACCTGTGTCTGTTTTTTGCCACATAACAAATTGTCCATCATACCATGAAAATTCAGCTCT